TGCCAAGCTGGGGTGTCTGAATGCTGGAAGCATCTGAAGAATCCATCCTAGTCCCTCACACTTTTCGTTCCTTGAGCACCACTGACAGACGTGTCAATCTTTGCCTTCCGTCACTAGGTAAAGGACAAATGATCTCTCTGTTTGTGGTGTGGGAGGAGGCCGTGTGTTATCTGGTATGATTCACTCCGATAAATAACCTCCTCCTCGGACTTCTCTTGTTTATAGCAACAGCCCCAAATGCTAAAGTTTATGGAGATTTTAATCCTTGCTGTTCTCACGCATATTTACTCTGCAGTTTTATCAGAAACATCTTTTGAAAACCTCAGTGTTTTTATAATTAATTGAATAATGTGACTGATGTTAAAAATAAACGGATTTGGAAAACTGCCCAGTGAGCTGCTGAACAACAGTATGTAATATAGCAACTGTAGCTGGATTCTCAGGGGTATGTATATTTTCCTAACAAATGCAGTCTCATGACTTAGAGATTAAATCTTTATTAGTTTGAAATTCACCCTGTTGATTTTTCTTTGTTTATGCTGCATAATTGTTTCTGGATGAATTCACATTTTTTAAAGGGACAGTGCTCCTGCGGATGTCTGCTGATCTCAGAGTGGGTGAGTTAGTCTGAGACCCACAGAGGCACCACAGAGGGGATGTGGGTGTTGGCTATCTCTGTCCATCCACCATCCCATTGGCTTTATATTATTTTCTGATCCAGATCCAATCCATGCACTAAGAGGCTGAGTCTGTGAACAGGCCGCTCCAATATATATTGATCCTGCTTATCCCAAACCCAAATGCTGTTGATTTCTTCTCTATGACCTTGGCCCTGCCGTGCCCACCTCACCCCTGCTCTGTGAACTCCTGCCACGTCTCTGCCCCATGCTCTCCCTGACCTAAGCCTTTCCTGACGCCGCTCCCTAGTGCCACCAACACTTCCTTAACTTTTGCTGGCTCAGAGCATCATCTTATCAGTCTGGGATAATTTATTAGTTTGGGCTCTGCAGTTAAGTCTGGGCCTCACCTCTCCTATCTCTGGAGGTGTGTCTGGCTGGCCAGGGTGGGGGGCTCTGCGCTCTGCCCGCCTTGGGGCTGCAAGTGAGCAGAACAGAGATGGCTTGGCTTGCCTCCTCCCTCCCTGCTTCAAGGACTGGGATAAAGCAGCAGGGGAGAAGCAAGGCAATGTAAATTCAGAAGGGACAAAACTCAGTGAGGTGATGGGAGATAGATTCTGGAATGCGTTTGGTGAGACATCGAATCCTATCTCTTATCCCGGGGGAATCCCAGCTACACGAGCAAATCATCAAGCCCTGTAAACTACATCATCAGCGTCTTCCTCTAGAAAACATCATCACGCTGATCCATTTGTCCTAGCAGCCAAATGATTAAAGTTTGAAAACATAAATTATACACGTTGCTGGAACAGCATAAACACAATAATGGCTCTCTGTTACACCTGTAACCTCTGTTATAATAGCTTTAATGAGCTTTCAGCCTCATCATCCAAAAAGAAAAGATTATCACACAGTGCTTTATTGCTACTGAGGTGTTCTTCGTGCTGCTGCTGGTGGCCAAGCACCTGCAATGCACCTGCTCTGAGGAGCTGTGGGCCAGGCACCTGCAGTGGGTGGGTGCCTTCCCTTGAGCTGGGGGGCTGACCCAGGCTGGAGAGCTCCCAAAATGGGGCAGGGGATGCAGGCCCCCAGTGTGGGACACCACAGCAGTGTGAGCCCTTTCTGTAGCATGCAGGCTGCTGGAAACCCCGGGAGGAGAACGGGCACCTGCCCCCATGACATAGCATTATCCTGTGGTGTGGGGTTAGTCCAAGCTTGCGTCTTCTCAGCTTAATTTAATAACAGGCTATGAGCTCTACTTTGATCTGCTTGTGTTTTTCACTAGTTCCGTATTTAATTGAACTCATCATCATAAATACCAGGAACTCTTTCACTTTCTGTGCCAGGCTGGGTTTCCTGTTGGACACGCAAAGGACACACCTGAATGGTGGGTTTCTGGCCTGCCAGTATGGGGGATCCTGTTATCAACAGAAACAAAGGGAGCACAGGAATCTGGAGCTGGTGGATTCCTTTCCCCAAACATGTGGCCAGACCTGAAAATCCAGCTGCCTGGCTTTTTTCGTTTACTGGTCTGCTCCACTGTGTCCTGGGAATGTGTGGCAGGACTCTCCGCTTCTTTCCAGGAGGCCTGGCCATACAACCACCCCAGTGGTTTTTCCCCTTTCAAAATCTGCAGACTGGAACCCGCTTTGCCTCAAGGCTTGTTGTGTTTATTAAGTGTTATCCTGTGTCTATCCCAGGTGTCGCCTTCAGCGTTCTACCAGGATGAGAGACTTGCTGGCTGTGGGCTCTCCCACTGGTTCTGTGCTTCTGGCTGCATTCCCACAAATGCCGCTGCTACCCCAAAAGCAGCAACTGTACGTCTGTGGTTCTCACTCGACAGAGCTATCTCTAATTCAGGATCCCAGGGGTAGAGGTATCAGAAACTGTTGCTGCTGGGGCTGGGACTCAAGGGCTGGTGAGCCCACTTTGCAGGGGATGTGGTCTTTATTCCTGCTTGCAAAATGCAGCCTGGAAGCTGTGCCGATCATTTGTGTGAAGCTTTTTGTCAGATACTTGCAAGGAAGACAAAGAATTTTAAATGCTTCAATTTTCATACTTAACAGACCACACTTGTGCTGACAGTACCTGCTGGCAATAACTTCTCAGATGGCAACTGGAAAAAGCCACAAAAACCCTGGAAGAATGCTTTGCCAAAACAGGCTTGACAAACTTTGAAAACATGCTGGAAGAGGTGAAGGTAATTTGGGTGAGTATGCAGGTGATATAATTCTGTCCCTTGGCAGGGATCTGCTCCCAGAACTGTGATGTAGCTATGGCAGGGCACTCTACTTGTGGGATGCTGGCATATTTACGTGTGGTCTTCTAAAAAATCTTAAAATCTGTCTCTTTGCTTATAATTAAAGAATTCATGTGTTTTTTTATCTTGTGCCTGCCCCTTCAGTTCTGCAGTGAACTCATCCCAAAGACAGATGTGAGCTCCTGACATCTTGGTGTCCACTGCCTGTGTTTGAGGGAAGCAGGGAGACCTGGTTTGTGCCCCCAGATATCCTGGCTTTTCTAGGGTACTGGTGTTCCTTATTGCTGGGCTCTGCCCATTGAATTTCTTCCTCTGCGGGCTCTCAGTCCTGAAAAGATTCATCCGTGAGAGATGCAAGCAGGATCACAAAAGGTCTGGACGACAAGCATCATTTCTAGGACCATCCTGCCAGGCCCCTGCAGTGCTGCGGCTCAGGATCTCCGGCCTTGCCCCGTTGCACAGTGCCATCTCCTGGAAAGCTCTGCCTGAGCCGCACACATCACAAGCAGTTTTGCTCCTGCATCAGCCAGGGGTGCTGCAGGCTGCTTGGCTGCTGCTTCTGATTGCCATGAAGATTATCTTCTGACACCCCATGAGTCCCCTCATCAAACTCCTCTTCCTCCTGCTCTCTGTCCGGCTGCTCGCCCTCACCCCTGAGCTACCCTGCAGCATAACATCCCTGTGCAGCTTTTTCCCGCTCTGGATGCTGAATACAAATCTCTAGGTACAAAAAGAACAGTAGAGGAGCACAAATTAGCATCTACAGATATTACCCCTCATCTTTTGTTCTCCTTGGGCACCAGTTCCCTGTTCAGTTGAATGCCCTGCCTATACACATTTGCCCTAGGAGTGCCCCATTTACCTCTTCCTCCTGGTTTTGACTCTAAGGGACACATTTTCTTCTTCCTCCCTAAGCTTGATGACCTCATCTTGAGCAACAACCAAGCCCCTCATCACAGTGCTCACCCTATATTTAAAATGTTGCTACATCTTTTTAATGAGACAAAAATGTGTATACGGAACTTGCACCTGAATGCTGCTGGCTTGACTAAGCTCTATATTTATCCTGATAAGACAAGAAAAATGGGTGGTTTCAGGGGCAACATGCTTACTCCTATGAAACAGTAACATAGCTTAAGTGCTTAGTCGCTGAAAAAATGCACACTGCAATTTAAAGCCAAAGGCTGGTACTTCATCCATCATTTTAGGCTATTGTGGCATCTTCTGAGCAGTTGGGAGATTACTGTACTTCAGTAATCTGTCATATACAATGAAATAACTAGTGCTCCAAGGTAAGGCTGTAAAAGCTGTTATTTGAAAAAGACCATAATTATGTAAATACAAGGCCACAAAGTTCATAAATAAGAGAAAAAGCTGCTGTGACTCGTGGCTGTTCAGAGTTTTCTTTGGCTCTTTCTCAGTGAGGATTCTATGCTGCAAACTTGTCTTTGCCCCTGAGCATACCAATGAACTCAAAGAGCCTGTTTACCAAAAAATGTATTTTTTATTAAAATTCATATTTGTAAAGGAGAGATCATTACACAAATGAGGTAAACCAACACATATGACATAGTTTTCACTTTAAAAATAAATTTCAATTGAGCAATTGATTTGATTCCATAAAGTCTGAGAGACAGAGTCAGGCGAGCGTTACTCATGTGGTGAGCTGCTGGACAAGGCGGAGAGATGCAGCTGATGCTGCCCTGACTCAGCACAGGGATGTCAGTGCCAAAGGGTCGGAGTCCTCCAGGGGCCAAGCCCTTTAGCACCATCCTTTTGTCCCTTTCTCCCGTCAGACTCGCAGACGAGAGGAAATGGGTAAAGGCCAGGGACAGGCAGCAGTAGCCTCTTCACTTACTGCTCTAACAAGGGGGCCCCCACGAGCATCCCCCTATAAAAGGCTGTGTAAAGGTTTAATTTGATTGTGCAAATTCACTCCTTCATCAGTCGTCGCTCACCATGTCTCAGCCCTAAAGGAGACTTAACAGCAAGGAAATACCAGCTCTGAAAAAGTTCCGTTTCAAAATAACATCTGGCAAGCAACAAGCCTGTTAAATGCGACACACTTTGCAAGGTACAGGGAGAAGACAACTTATGCTTCCTTTTTTTTTTTTTTTTTTTAAAGTTTGTTTCCATGCATGTACAAGTGGAGCTTTTAGTCTAAAAGTTTAAGTTACTGCAAGTTTGTGAGAATCATGTTCACCGTCCTGTGAAATTAAGCTTTCCCGTTGAGGACCAAGCCCCACAGCCTGAACACCTCACATAAAAGTGGCTGCAAACGTTGTTTCGCCCTGTATAATGGTAAGAAAATAGCGAGGTGAACCTCAGACCCGTTTCAGAGAATGCCACTGGAAGATAGACTAATAGAGAACAGCTGTACTCACCTCCAGCTCCTCTCAAGTACAGAACCAATACCACTGCCACCAGCAGAACCGAGTGATGCTCCAAAATTCACTCAATTAAATCAGTGGCTGACAAACTCCTAAATGTTGGGAATTGCTGCATGGCTGAAGCTCTGCAGTCCAGGTCCACTTTGATGGGTGAAGGTGTTATGGAGGTGACAAACTATGTAGAGAAGACGGAGATAGATTTCACCCGCTACACCCACTGAGTGAAACTCATCCAGGCCCTTGTGCATTAACTGAGACAGGTAATACATTGCTTCCAATACGTGTCCCAGGACAGTATCTGATAACCAAGACATAAAATTTTCATCACATCTGCCAAGTTTATAGTTAAATTTCATGACTGCACGCAGATACAACATGAGGTGAATGAACTATTTCAATTCCATTTATCCCCTCAGGGGATCTGGGTGAGATTTAAACTGCATGTAGGTTTGGTGCTGGTCTGCATGGGCTGGATGTCATGCTGCAAGAGCAGTATCTATAACTCTCGGTGCAGAGAGAAGATTGTACCACATCCAGTACCATGTTTCCAGTAAATGCTTTCAGCAAGAGTCAGAAATGCGTTCACTGCTGTGCACTACAGTTTGTGATAACTGTAGCTTGGCAGCTGCAGCACTGTGATATCACAAGAAGACTCTTCATGTTAGAAGTCAGTTAAAGTCTATACATCTTGAGAGAGAGAAAGAAAGAGAGGGGTGTCATACTTAGGAGAGATTTCTCCAAACATAAATAAAAAAATAACTGTTTTTTTTAATAAAACTATTGTTTGAGGGACTAAAGCAACCGATGTTAAGTTCCTGGTTTATTACACATCCTGCTATGGCTCTGTATGACGATTCTGAAAAGGCAGATTAGCATAAGATTAGCCAAGAAAGCAAGCTGTTCAGGCTCAGCAAGACTCCAAGGCAGCCATTTCACACTGACAAGAGCTAGCCCCCTCACTCCTGTGTCCGCTGGCAGCACGGGCAGGTTTTTTCCAAGAAAGACATTCCACTACCGTTTCTTTCACTGGATCATGCCATCTTGCTGCCCTGCCTGGCTGGGGTCAGTGGTGACCGACGGACTGGGTGTATTGCTCTGCAAAAATCGACGGAAGTCCTTAATCATGGGGCGGAGGACCTGGATGAGGGCACTCAGTGCCGCCTGTGTTCCTTCCATGGCTTGTGCCTGTCGCTCCTGGGCACATGCCTGCACCTCCTGGGAGCGCCGAATCATCTGAAGCAAGTCATTCTGCTGCTCCAGGTGCTGGGCGATCTCCTTCACATGCAAGTTGGTCACTCGCTGCTCCTGCAAGAGCTTGGCTGAGTTCAGAGCAATTCGGCTTTTCAGCTCCTGGGGTTTCGCAGACACTTCGTGTTGATGCGCCATCATCTCCAAGGGTGCTTCAGCCGTGACGGTGGTGGGGGCTTCTGTTGTGCAGTACTCTACAACTCCATCCTCCAGACTGTGGTAGGTTGTCTCTGCAGGAACTGAGAACAAAGGACAGAAAGGGGGTAAGAAGTAGCTGCAATACGGGGATTTTTATCTACAGGACTATTCAATGAATATCACACGAATACTGCCTGTTCAGTGAGATAACATACAATGAACAGCCATGCACAAAATGACCTACTAAGTCTACTCCACCCTCATTCGAGCTTCCTTTTCAGCTATACAGTCCAAAGGAATAGGGCATGCCTTATCTGTCTAGACAAAATTATTTCTCAACCTCCAGTCCAGCGCAGAAAAATCTTTCCAGGCATCATTAACCAAGTGACATAAGGGCAAAGACAAGATCCAGAACAGCACTAATCAGAAGCACAGCTGCTCTTTGGGGCAGACTGGGAGATCAGTCTTGGAGATGTTTCTCCCCCTGCTTTTGTCCCCAGAGGGGGATTGAACAATCTGCAAGGTGCAAAGGATACTTGCTTCCCTTGTTTTTAAGGCTGAGCCCAGCTATCAAAACTGACTTGCAGTACATGGCGTTATCTTGCAGTCACTCCCTTACAGCACGAGGACATATTGGGAATGGCATTTTCATTACAGAGATGTGGGGGTTTCTTTTTGCTGGGGCTTTCCCCACACAGGGCTCAGGGCCTCCTCATGATTGGGTGTCAAGGCTCCCTGTATGATCTTCCAATTCAGAACAGAGCATCTGCAGCCGGCGCAGCACTCACTCTGGGTCAGGGTGACCGTGGTGGCTGACGCGGTGATGGGTATCTCGGTACCGTCACCTGCGCTGCAGTCCCCACTTGGCAAACTGATGATGGTGGCTTCTCCCAGCAGGTTGCAGATGCGTTGCTGCATTGGGGTGAGGATAACCGGGGTGGTTGCAGCGCCCGTTGGGTCTTCGCTCTCTGGCCCGTTGCCGTTGCCGTTCTGACTCTCGCCTCCCCCTTCCATGGCAGCCCGGACTTGGGCCACTTTGCGTCGCACCTCGGTCTTGAGGTCGGACCATTTCTTCTTGACCTCGGGCAGCTCACGGTGGCAGGTGGCAACGGCATTGACGCGGCGCAGGATGTCATGCCAGGCGGCGGCTTTGGCGGCCAGGGGCACGCCCGCGTTGAAGTGGTTGATGAGGAGGTGCTTGCCTCGCTCTAGCTCCTCCACGATGATCTCCACCTCCCGCTCCGAGAAGTTCATCTTCCGCTTCTTGGCTGGGGGCGCCGGGGGCGACGCCATGGCCATGAAGGGGCACCGAGGAGGGGGCACTAGGGGACACCTGCAGGCCAGGGGGGCCTGGCCGGGCCCAGGGGGCCCTGGGGGAGGCTGGGCAGGGCCGAAGGGCGGCAGGGCCTCCCCAGGCCTGCTCACCCCCGGGGCCGGGGACAACAGGGGGCCCCCGAGGCCCCTCGGGGCCCGGAGGCGTCCGTCCCCCCCCGCTCCCCCCTTGGCACCGCCAACGATACGCAAATTGCGTACCGCAGCGACCCAGCAAACCCCGCTCAACAGCCTCCACCCTGCGACACTGGCGTAATGGCTTCCAGAATCAGCCCCCTTTCTTGCCTCGCCTGATTCGGCAGCTAGCCTGCCCGTCAGGCGGAGATCTCGCCTCCCGCTGTCAGCGCCGCGCTATCATTGGCCAGGCTCGCTGCCCATCGGGGGGCCAAGAGACAGCCCCGCCTGGCCGCTTGTCTCAGGCCACTGGGCCTGCGTGAGGCCCGTGAGCGGCTGGGACCGCCCATGAATTTTCCCCGCTCTAATTCCATTGGGTATTTCTCCCATCCATCAACACAGAGCGCCCCCTGCTTTGGAAGATACCGGATACGTGCCACATCCGTCAAGCTCAAACTGACTCCTGTTTCCCGATCTGATTGGAGATATTCTAGCTTTATCCCCGCCTCTCCCCGGGGCTTTAACCAGTGGGAGTTGGATCCAGGCGCTCGTACCGCCCCCTTCCGCCCCGGGCGGTGTTTCCTTCCGATTGGCGCAGGGGAAGGCGTCCCTCTGACGTCACGCCCGCCCACCTCGCGGGGCCGCGTGGAGGCCGGGGATGCGCGCGGGGGCGTGTTGGCTGACGCC